ACTGATCAACTATTACACCAAGATCCCTTTCTTTCATGACACTGTTAAGGTTATTCCATTAAAATTATGATAACCCACATGCATTATATTAGATATATTATAATTAAAATCCATTTGCCATTTATTTGCTCAACTCATTGAATGATCTAAATCCTTTTGTAAATCAGCAGAATCCTCTTCACAGCTAGCAACACTCAAGACCAGCAAATTTAAGTAATTTATTGACCATTCCATCATTTATGTCATCTTTTATCAGACTTTCCAAAACTTTTCCCACAACTGATGTAAGACTGCTGGGCCTACAATTACTGGGACAATTTGTATCACCTCCCTTGAAAAAAGGAGTTACATTAGCTAACTTTTCCAATCCTCGGGTAACTACTCACTATTCAAGGACTGACAAAAAATAGTAGTAAGTGGCTCACATATCCAATCTTTAACCTCCTTCAAAACCCTTGGGAAATATCATCTGGCCCTGGAACCTTATCGTTCTTTAAACTTCTCGATTTTTCTCTTAACCAGCTCAGAATTAATGCAGTCATCCTGTTTTCATCTACCAACTGTTCAGGATGTGGAATACTGCTCAAATCTTCGTTACTAAAAACGGAAGAAAGAACAAAATTTAATAATCATCAGATACAAGCCTTCCTTTATCATCCCTCAAGGGCCCTACCCCTATTTTAACATTTTGTTTACCCTCAATGCATTTAAAGAAATCCTTACTGTTAATTTTACATTTTAACAAACCTCTTGTCATACATCGTCATGTCTTAATTTCCTGTTGCACAAACTTTCTTCTAAATGTCCCGTTATACTAGTTAATTTAATTTTTTAAATCTATTATGTTTTTCTTTCATTTCATCTCGTACATTTTTTGTGAGCCAACCTGGTTTTTTACTCAGCTACCCTTTTATTTCTTTATTAAGATTAAAAACACAAAAACCGATGTTTTTTGGCACAGAAAAGGGTAAAATTTTTATCATTAGTTACAGTCGACTAGTTTCTATAACTCAGTTACCGTCATCGGGGTTAATATCTACAGTGTTAGATCAGAATAAATTCAGCCACAAACCGTAAAATGGTGAGTTAATTTTCAAAAACACGTTCAGAATACAAGGGGTGGAAAGTCAATCGTAAATGAGGGAATACTTAAGTTCAATAAGTATTTCAATAGCACATGTAAATTGGTCCGTCGTTCCTATTCATACAAACTGATCTGTTTTAATTATACAAATACTCTCTCTGAAATTCCTTCCTATGTTTGTTTGTACATTTCTTAAGATCTTTACGTTTTTCCAGTCAAAATTACCACCACAGTTCCAGAAATGTTCAGCTACAATACAGGACTTAGTGTTACCATGTTTTATGTCATACATATCAAAGAATTAATTAATCTTACTAAACTTTTTGTAGGAAATCGCAAATTTAAAATTAATGATGAATTTTATCAACAAGTTAAATACCTAGCAATAGGGTAGCCTTTCTCTCCTGTTTTGAGCGATATATTTATGGACGCTTTCGAAGATTCCAAATTACAAAAAGCTTTAATAAACTCTGTAGGATATAGAAGATACGTGGCGACATAATAGTGAAACCCTTGTGGAGTTCTTAAACTACATGAATGATAATGATGAAGGAATTACATTTACTATGGCGTCCAGTGAATAGACTAGACTTAGACGTTCTCGTTAAAAAAACACAAATAATAAATTGTATTTTGAAAACCTCTCGCCATCAGCATACCACCACATTATAACTCTAACTACCCTTTAAGTCAGAAATTAAGCACTTTTTACAAATATGCTTCTCGTGCTAGTAATACATATTCTATTATTACACATATATACAACGAAAAAAATATATTTAAAGGCAGTGGCAGTAGATAGAAGTTATGAACTTGTAATTGTCAACAGAGCTTTCCAAAAAATGAATGAAAAACATCTTCAAATGAAATACTCTAAATTATCTCCATTAAAAACATCTCAAAACAAGTTCATTGGTGCACGATTTATTTCCCTGTAATTTCGTAAAAAAACTGCTAAAGGTTTCCAATTAAAAGGATACAAAGCAGCATTCATTTCACAAAGCAAAATTGTCAACCATTTACAAACACTCAAAGATAAGATAAAGGAATTGATGATTAACATAGAATTGACCAAACCAATTGCAGTTGCGGTAAAATGTACATAGGATAAACAAGAAGGAAATTAAAAACGACATTGGAAGAACACCAGTATGACATAAAACATGGTAACACTATGTCCTCTACTGTGGCTGAACATTTCTGGAACAGTGATGTTAATTATGAATGTAAAAATATTAAGAAACTCGTAAACAAACAGAAAAAAAACTTAAGAGTGAGTATTTGTAAAATTAAAAACAGATATGTGTGTATGAATACAGAAGACGGACCAATTAACATGTCCTATTGGAATACCTGTTTAACTTAAGTAATCCCTTATTTATGATTTACCTTCCTCCCTCTGTCTCTTGACTTTATTTTTTAAAAATGAACTCCCTCATTAATGGTTGTAGCTAAATTTACATTAAGCTAACATTCTAGACACTAGCCCTGATGATGATAACCATGTTGCTGAAACTAGTGGGCTCTAACCTATAATAATACCTTTCATTGTGCCAAAAAATGTCTTTCTTTTTTGTCTTTTTTTACCCTTGATATAGTAGCACAATGTGCCTGAAAAGAAATTATGAATTTACAGATATTAAAGATACACAAATTTAGTTTCCTGTTACAATTTGAAGTCATTCTAGAAAGAAAAATAGGGTAATGTTGGTTTATTTTGTTTGTTGGTGGTTAGGAGGTCGGTCAATAGAGTTAGAGTAGAAAAAATAAGAGATAAAATATAAAGTTTTACTGAAAAAAAACTTTTGAAATTTATTTCGGAGGTCTTAGATTTTTCGGATGAATAAAAGTATTTTTAATTTGAACATGAAAATCACTTTGCACTTGAAGCAATCAGCATTTTGACTCCATATATTCATGAAGAAATATTGTAAAAATACTGCATTTAAAATTCTGAACATGCTTATTGAAAGCTTGAGAAATTTCATGAAGATACATTAAATAGCTTAGAAGCTATAATATGAAATTTATAAAGGTCAATTTGGGGTCATGAACTTGGCTGATTTTACTGAGCCTGTAGCGAGAGAGTTAATGTTTTTTTGGAATCAAGCATTGCACTGTGAAAATTTCCCCTTTTACAAAACAAAACTAACCTAAAGAATACAAATCCTGAAGTCAATGCTTCCAGGTAAAAAAGGGCAATTTACATCTTTAGGATTTTTTAATCATTCTTTTTATATTTTGGCAATGTACATGCAGTTATATCATCAATTTATACTTGTGTTTATGATTAAGAAATAATCTACTTTGAATTTTCTTTAAACACACTAGAAGAAGTTATGAACATGTGTAAAGTGAGTTTGTACAGCTTGTATCACATTAGCTAAAGTTTTTCCACCTTCTGATTGTTTTTGTAGAAATTTTCTAACCAATGCAAGGTTGAATAACTTAAAACTTGCCACAATGGTTTCTATCAGTGTTTTATATAACCAGTACTTCCTGTGTTGTAAGCTTGGAAGTCTATAGAAAGGTAAACTAGTATAAAGAGACAGGTAAGATTAAGGCATAAAATATTTAATAAACCATCAGCCTGAAAATATGTTTCTTCAATTTAAATTTAATTTTGAATAACAATATAGTTATTGTCAAATCTACTGGTTAGAACATACATTTTAAGTGGAAAATTTTATTTTAGGTAGGAACATCATCCATGGAAAGCTCTCTGCTGAAGTACAGTGCCAAGGATCATTTCTTCAAGGCAGCCCTGTGTCACATGTGTGTTGATGTACTAAATGCTCAGGTATGAAAGCTCTGTATCACATGTGTTGATGTACTACATTCTCAGGTGTGAAAGCTCTGTCACATGTGTCTTGATTTATTAAATGCTCTAGTATGAAAGGTTTGTCGTGTGCTGATGTGTTAAGTGCTCAGGTATGAAAGGTTTGTCGTGGGCTGATGTTTTAAGTGCTCTAGTATGAAAGGTTTGTCGTGGGCTGATGTGTTAAGTGCTCAGGTATGAAGGTTTGTCATGTGCTGATGTGTTAAGTGCTCAGGTATGAAAGGTTTGTTGTGTGCTGATGTGTTAAGTGCTCAGGTATGAAAGGTTTGTCGTGTGCTGATATGTTGAGTGCTCAGGTATGAAAGGTTTTGTCGTGTGCTGATGTGTTAAGTGCTCAGGTATGAACAGTTTGTCGTGTGCTGATGTGTTAAGTGCTCAGGTATGAACGGTTTGTCGTGTGCTGATGTGTTAAGTGCTCAGGTATGAAAGCTCTGTATCACATGTTAATTTACTATGCTCATTTTAAAAAGTACAGAAAAAGATTTTTTCATTACATGCCAAGATCACTCACTAGTCAAGGGCTTCTTAAAGGTGTGATATATGTAATTACTTACACCATGACAATCAAGATTGAGAACAATGATTGGCTGAAATTGGTAAAACTTCACTTTTATTCAAGTTACAGGGTCAAATTAGTTCTCCCCCTCCCCTCTGGAGGTGTGGTGGGGTAAAGGGTAGGAGAACCATATTATGCTCAGAAAATTCAAAGATCCTAATGATTTTGTTTGGAGCTCACTGAAATCAGCCAAAGATAAAAATTGGTGATTTTATGTTCTGTATCAGATTAAATGAATGAAGTGTTCATTATGACAAATGGTAGCTTAACCTGAGTGTTGTATGCAGTGAACACTTGTGTATCTCCGGATATGGAATAACTTGCATGAGTCAAGCTTGCTGCTATTTGTTTAATTGTAGCTTAGTTTGAGATTTTTAAACAACTGTGTAAGAGAAGCTTAGTTTCAAGAGTTCATGTTTGTACTCATGTTAAATATTTTCTGTTGTTGTTGAGGTTGTTCAGTAGCAACCCCCAACAAACAGTATGGTGTAAGATACTGTATTCATAACTGTGTCGTCTAAAGACACAGAAATTCTTATGTCATGTCCTGTCTTACACCATTAAACAAACAATGTGGTGTAAGATACTGTATTCATAACTGTGTTGTCTGAAGACGCAGAAATTATGTCAAGACCTGTCGTACACCATTAAACAAACAGTGTGGTGTAAGATACTGTATTCATAACTATGTTGTCTAAAGACACAGAAATTCTTATGTTGTGTCCTGTCTTACACCATTAATTGTGAAAATAGCAAACGTGTGAAAAAATGTCCATAAAAATATATAAAAACTCTGAATTCAAGGACTTAAATGAGTATGTGACTTAAATGAGATGCATGTGATTCTTTATCATTATATGAATACGGAATGACGTACGGAAAGTCATGCGAAACTGCGTAAATAGATGAATAATGACTTTACAGCTAGATGAACATATATGTATAAACATTATTTCATAAATCACAAGTCTGAAGATCATAATGTTACTTAAACAAAGTGGTATCAAAATTAAAAATGTAATATAATCCCTTAATTTACCTGTTCATTAGATTGGTAACTGTATTTACAATTACTTGGATTAAAATAACTCATACTGAATGCTAGGGTATTAAACAGATTTATTTCATTTGAGAAAAAAGATCAAATATCAGGAAATACTGAGAAGAACCTACCCTTTAAGTTCATCTTTCAACTGTTTATTACAAATGGAGTATATATTTTATATTTTCATTATTTAAATTATATGCCATTTTTACTTAAACATCTAAAGACCGCTAATTAAGACTAAAACTAATAGTATAGTAACATTGTTTGATTAGAATCATTTAGTTTATATTTTTGTCATTTCAGCATGCTGTCAACAGGTATGAAGAGATGTGTCCATCTTTCTCAGACTCGAGAGAATGCAAATTACTTAAGGTAAATATGTTGTTTAATTTATATGGTGTATGTTTTTGAGATTAACCTTCTTGCTACAGATGGATCAAAGTTTGCTTGTCATGACCTTTTACAGAGTTACATTCAAAAGTTAATTACTTTATTATCATTGTATGCAAATAAATTTAAGATCAAATTTAGTTAATAAGTCAAATTTTAATATCGTACAAATTTTAAATTTTACAAGGAAATATTTAAATAAATCCTCAATTTCTCCTTGTATAAAAATTGTGACATTTGTTCCTTAAGTCTTTCTCCTTCTCTAATTTATTTACCACCTCTCTTTGAAGTACAAAATTTTACATAAGTTACTCATTATAATACAGATATTACTAAGGCAAAGTTACCAGAAATACAAAAGGTCAAACATAAAAAATATATATTTCTTATTTTTTATTGTATATATATATATATATTTTTATTCTTATAAATGTAATTGAAATGTGAAAATTATAATTTATTAGGTTAGATTAGATAAAATACAAAAAAAATAATAATAATTCCTCATGAGGTATGCTTGGAAGCAGCTTGTGTATTATGTAATTCAATACAGTAACATGAGCTACATGCTTGCCAAGTGATTTATAACTTGTGTGGCAGGATTATTTGTTAGACACCATTCAAAAGGCAATAAAACAATAAAATTTAAGTTGAAACATATGTATATTGTTACAATTTACAATCAATCCAGAAAGAAAAAGGGTAATTTAGATTCATATTTTTAATGGTTACAAGGTTGGATGAATCAACCAAGTCCACATAGAGGGTAAAGAAAATAACAGATAAAACAAAAAGTTTTACTGAAACAAAAATTGATTGCTATTAATTTAGGATGTTTTATTGATTACATAAGTGAAAGCTA